GAAATTCGGGAAGTGGATCAGTCCTGCCTATGGATTCGGTTTAGATACACTTAGAATAAAAATTGATCTGTAGATCCTGGACAATATTATTAAGATATTAGAAGTCAATGATTTACTACTAGATTCAGGATAATATAAAACCAATGATCCACCTCTAAACATATGTCATATAATTATAATTACTCTATGAAAAAAAGATTGTCTCTCATAGATCAGTTGATATATTACAATATTAAAAGTCAATTCAATTCAATTCAAAGACTATATATTTCAATATATAAAAGTATGTACATTGCATATTATAACATGGGTTTATTACCCGTAGGTATTGTATCCTTCATTGGATTTGGTTTTTCAAACAATAATTAAAGTACATGTAAAACTTTTTGACAAATCGTGTGGCAAAAAAGAGGAAAGAAACTTTTTCTCCCAAAAAAAACCACAAAGCAATATTTATAATAATAGTTAATTATACAAATAAAAAGAAAAACAAAAATAAAAGATTTATTCTCATCCAAGTATCAATTACCGCTATGGGTCGATCAGTATATATTTTGGCATGGCGTGATTGCCATACCAAATATCGTCTCTTGTGTATTGGCCGAGGCCCGCGATGTTAACATTAGGATGATCCCCACATTTTAGATAAAAATTCTCAGTGAGCTTTTTTATAAAGTCTAGTATGGTTGGTAAGTCAGTCTGTTTGTGTATGTATTTTGAAGAGTAGTAATGTCTAGTCAGTGGGTTCCTTATTTTGTTGAGTACGAGTCGTAGTGTCTTATTTTGTAATGTCTGTAGTTTTCGTAAGTTAGTCTTAGTCGTCGCGTTCCATGCCGGAGCGGCGTATGTCAGTATCGGTCTTATTAGTATCAAGTAAAGTGTTCGCTTGTTCTTCACGCTTAGCGGGCTGTTCTGGTTCAAGAGAGGTCTCAGTAGATTCAACATCCGTAAGCCTGTCCAATTTTGTATTAATATGTTTTGTGAAGCTGAGTCTATGGTCCAGGGTCACACCAAGATATTTGACATCCTTCGACCACTCAACTTCACAGTCCAAATACTTTAATTTTGTCCAAGTCAGTCAGTCTAGTCATGGCATTTTGGCTCTTTGTAAATAAAATTGCCTCCGTCTTTTGCGGATTGATTTTAATCTGCCATTTGTCAGTATATTTCATCAGCTTGTCTATGTGTGTCTGTATCTTTGTAGTCAGTAGCGTCGGTGATCGTGATGATTTGTATATGGCAGTGTCGTCAGCAAACGTCAGTAACGTTGTGTCGGCGTCAGTGGGTATGTCGTGAATATAGACGTTAAACAAGGATGGTCCCAGGATCGAGCCCTGCGGTACTCCCGCCGTCACTTGTTTAACCGTCGAAAGTCCGTTGTCTACTTGTACAGTGAAGTTACGGTCTGAAAAGTATGAGTGTAAAGTTCTCGTTATGTACGGTGGAAAGTTGAGTTGGATAAGTTTATGTACAAGTCCGTCCATCCAGATGGTGTCAAATGCCTTCTCAAAGTCGAGTAACACCAATCCGGTATGGTTTCGTCTGTTGAAGTTGAGTACTGTATTTTCTATGAGTTTTGTCAGTGGGTGTAGTGTAGAGTGTCGTTCTTTGAATCCGTATTGTGTGTCAGGTATAATTTTGTTGTGTCTTATGTGTTTGTTAAGTCTTTTGAGTAGTACCTTTTCGGCTACCTTACTCATTGTGTTGAGGAGGCTGATCGGTCTGTAGTTCTGTGGTACGTCTGGCTGTTTCCTTGGCTTCACTATTCGAAATATGATGGAGGTTTTCCAAGAAGCGGGAAAGCAGCCTTTTGTCATTAGTCTATTTATTATGCGCGTAAGTAAAATGTAGGCGTTCGTCGGCAGTTGTTTAAGTATTATGTTTTGTAGTCCGTCCGGTCCTGGTGCTTTTCTGTTCGGTAATTTTTTAACTATTGTCTTTATTTCGGAAACTGTGGCAGGGTCTATTCGTAAGTCTTTGTCTCTATGGAGGTCAGTAAAGTCTTGAATTGTCTCGTGTACGTCTTGTTTCAGGTCTGCGTTTGACATATTGGCATTTTGTTTATGTATGTTTTCAAAGTTTTTTGCCAATATTTCCGCCTTGTCTGCTGGTGTCGTTGCGTAATTATTGTCAGTTAATTTGAGTGGAGGTATGGATGTTGGTTTTTGCGTCAGTCTTTTTGCTGTCTGCCAAATTTTATGTGGGTCAGTATTTATGTTCTCGAGTCTTATTAAAAGTCAATGATTTATTGAGGAGTTATATTGTTTCCTCAGAAGAGATCTACAGAAAGTGTTTTAAATCATTCAAGTTGAATGCTTATCATACATACACACATACATACACATGTTCATTTTTTTCTGAGGTATGCCTAAATGTTCAAAAATCTCTGAAACGTGAAGATATGCACAGATTTCCATTTTCGATTTTTGGCCCATTACATTACGAAAAGTTAATAATATTAATAATAATAAATACAGTTATTATGAATATTATAATAAATATGAATGACTTGTTCTCCTCATAAATTAAAAATTAGAAGAAATGACAAAAATTGTTCTAATCTTATTATTATCTAAAAATATCAGTTTATATATCAATATGACAAAATAGTTGTCAAATGTTTTTGCTTAATTGTCAAAATTCAAATTTTAAAAATGTATAAAAAATAACCCATAAGACTTTTTTTCAAAATTAACAATAACAAGTTAAAAATGAATAATATGATGACTGGCAGATAAACAAAAAAACTGAAATTCAAAAAAAAAAATAATGAAAAAACTGCAAAATGTCCTCTAAGCAAGAAGAAAAAGTTAAAAATCCTTCACGGTTTGTAATTTAAAAAACAGAATATTTTTGTAACAAAGTCATACTGAACCTAATTGCATGCTATTTCAAAATAATTATAATTATAATTGTGAACATAATTATTAAGTTCATTCATTTATTGATGTTATCGTTATTAGAAACTTTTCATCGGAAAATTCTCCACGAGCCCGAAATATTTCCAATACCAATACACGAGCCAAAAATGTATCAAATCCTGACACGAGAGCAAGAAATGTATCAAATCCTGACACCAGGACCCGAAATGTATCCAATCTTGACTATATCAGATCTAAAAATATCTCAAATGCAGACACACGCGCTAAAAATTTATCAAATAGTGATGCTAGAACCAGAAATCTATCCAATGCGGAAACCAGAGCCAGAAATTTGTCTAATGCCGATACAAAAACCAGAAATTTATCCAATGCCGACAATCGAGTCCAAAATTTATCCAACACTGAAGCAAGATCTCGAAATGTTTCAAATGCGGCTGTTGAATCACCACACATAGTAAAAATACAAAATTTATCAAATCCTGTCATCATCAATTCTCCAGGTCAAGTCAAAAGAGCAAGCTTCATGCCAACTACAACTAATAATAAAGGATTTATCATACCAAGTCCTCGGACTTTTGAAGGACCTGGAAAGGTAATAATAAGAAATACTGCATAGCTGAATATTGTCATTTTGCCAATTTTATATGAGAAAATATTATAATTGCACAGAGTATTACTATACTCAATTTTTTTTATGCTATTTTTTGTGATCTAATTTTACTATCATTTTCAGACGTTTCATGCCTCCATGTACAATGACAATCTCCAACAAAATATCCACGATGTCTCAGCTACAGCACGTAATAATTTAATTAGAATTAATCCAATTTCAAGAATGGATACCAAAGCTGAAGTCAAAGATCTTACTGAAAATTTAAACTTGAATTTAAATCCTGGGACCTCAGATGACAAGACTATCGCCAATGATCCAGAAGAGCCAAAAAGAGTAAATCCAGTTACCCATGCCGTTGGTTTTAAAACTCATGTAGTTCACGTCCACGATAACGTTGCACCACAAACATCTGTCATAAAAGACACGTTGGTCAGTCTTAAAACTATTCCACCAAAACTAATTAATGCGGTAACGTCTTTATCAAATGCGGCAAATGTTGAGGAAATCAAAAATTTTAAGGATACAAATATTGATAACATAAAAGTTGATCCAAAAGTAGCCGTTGTAGATGAAAAACTGATAAAAACAGTACCAGCCAACATGAAACCAACTGAAGCTCCGGTACCGGTCATAGAAGTTTCTGAGAAACACGCCCAACAAAATAAAGGACCACCGCCTGTTGTAAAAATTCCTTTACTCACAGAATACAGTAAATTGAATACAGTGCCAGTCACCGATTCCCAACGCCAGCAAAAAGAAATAGATTTACTGGACAGTATCAAATCAGGAGTAGTCGAATATAGCAGTTCAGATTTGATGTTAGTCCAAACTGAAAATCCAGCTTTAGCAGAACTTCAAGCAGCTAAAGCTGATTTGGTGCGAACTGTACACCAGTTGATCACCAGCAACGACATCGTTATTTTTTCTAAAACTTACTGCCCGTTTTCGATGATGGCCAAAGAGATTTTTGGGAGGATGAATAAAACTTATCGAGTCATCGAATTAGATAAAAGATCAGATGGTCCACAAATTCAGGATGTGCTTCAGGAAATGACGGGAGCTAAAACTGTACCAAGAGTATTTGTTAGAGGACAATGTTTAGGAGGCGGAATGGACGTCAGAACGTTGTTTGTGAATGGCGAATTGCAGAGAATAGTCGGAGTATGACGAAAACTGAAAATCTGGCTTTGCCAGAGCTTCAAGCAGCTAAAGCTGATTTGGTGCGAACAGTACATCAGTTGATCACCACCAACGACATTGTAATTTTTTCTAAAACTCACTGCCCGTTTGCGATGATGCCTAAAGAGATTTTTGGAAGGATGAATAAAACTTATAGTCATCGAATTAGATAATAGATCAGATGGTCCACAAATTCAGGATGTACTTCAGAAAATGACTGGAGCAAAAACTGTACCAAGAGCGTTTGTCAGAGAACAATATTTGGGAGGCGGAATGGACGTCAGGGCGTTGTTTGTGAATGGCGAATTGCAGAAAATAGTCGGAGTATGACCAAAACTGAAAGTCCGGCTAGACATCGCTTCAAGCAACTAAAGCTGATTTGGTGCGAACAGTACACCAGTTGATCACCAGTAACGACATCGTAATTTTTTCTAAAACGTACTGCCCGTTTTCGATGATGGCTAAAGAGATTTTTGGAAGAATGAATAAAACTTATAGAGTCATCGAATTAGATAAAAGATCAGATGGTCCACAAATTCAGGATGTACTTCAGGAAATGACTGGAGCTAAAACTGTACCAAGAGTGTTTGTCAGGGGACAATGTTTGGGAGGCGGAATGGATGTAAGATCATTGTTTGTGAATGGCAAACTGCGAAGAATAGTCGGAGTATGACCAAAAAAAATAAGAAAAATTACCTAAAATATAATTTTAGAACAAATTTTATTCAAATAATATATGTTTTTGTACATTTAAACTCCAGTATGCTCCTTGATCCAATCTCTGTAGAATGAGACTTGAGTAAACACACCTGGAAATCTAGCTACTGCACAAGGTTTCACAGACCAAGATACAATGCCAACTTGTACCTCATCTACGGTCAATGGACCTCCAGAATCTCCCTTAAAAATAGAATATATCATGAAAATACTAAACCAAATGAAATTAAAAATGTACTAACAATAAAGCAAGTCATTTTATATATTTTGTTTTGATACTACCTGCTCCAGTTCTATTAGATGGTACGTGCATGCCGATAAAGACGTTTTTATATATAGTTATCTATTATCATCGATTTGATAGTATTATTATCTCAATATTGGCACTTACACTGCATTGTGCTCTGTCATAATCTGGATAAGCTGCGCAAATTTGCTCTTTATAAATGGGTCTAAAGTGCAAATCACCACATTCCTTGGATCCGACGATCTGGTAGTGCAATTCTTGCAGATGTGTTTGCAAAACTCCGTCGGTAGTCTATAAATGATAGAAAATAAAATATAATATTTGATTAAAAATATAATTTGAATTATTTCTGGTTTACAGAATTTATTCCCCATCCGACAAGAGTAGCTGGTGCATTGTGTTTAGTTTGTTCATTTGCTTCTGGCAAAGTAACTGGTTGCGCAAATTTACTATATTTTAAGGGTTCAGATAGCTAAAAATTAAAAATTAATTAGAAGCTGCATTAAATATAACTGACTATAACAAATATCTAAATACCTTGAGAAGTGCAATGTCGTTGATATAACTGTTACTAGGATTATATCCTTTGTGTACAATTATTTCATCAACATCAACTACAGTATCACCTTTTTGTGAGATTGTGGTGACTCCATATTGAACCGAAAAATCTAAGTCTTCTCTTCTAAGATTTACAAAGAAATATAAACATACTTAGTAATCGAATTGAAAATGAAAATATTATACTTTGCAACAATTTTCTACTTTATCTAAATTATGTTCATAGACACTTTTTCATAAAAATGGCAATTTTTTACCCATAAACACAATGAGCTGCAGTCAAAATCCAGAGTCTGTCAATAATCGAGGCACCACAGGTGTGACCTCCAGTAGGTCCACGTAAAGATACCTAAAAATAAAAAAAAAATTGAGCAAATGTTTTAAACAAATTAAAATTTCAAAACTTGTAAACTCATTTCGAAATAATTAACTATTAAATACAATATTTTTTTTAAAGTAATGTTATAAATTAATTAATTTCATTTTCCAATGCCAATAAAAAATTGAATTACCATTAATAATAATAAACAATAAAAAATACTCACAACATACGGATACTGTCCTTCTTTAGCATCATTTCCATTGACAATCCTATTATTTGGAGCAGCTAATATACAAATAAAATTTAATCATTATTTTATAAAACACAGTACAGAATATTGAATAATTATAAACATTTTTGGATAATTAAAAAATAAACTATTTTACCTAAGCTAATAGCTACAATCGCACTTAAAACGACAAATCGCAACATTTTGTTAAACAATATCAATCAAATGGCGATAAAATTCGATTCGAAAATATATATAGAAGATTAAAATAAAAATATGAAATCCACAAAAAAGTGCCACTAGAAAGATAAGATAATATAAGCAAAAGTACCTAAACTCAACAATCAATTGAAAGTTAATTAGAAAATTTCAATGAGTTTGTGTAAATAAATTCTTAAAATTGTTTATTTAGAGATAATGTCTATCTATTTTTAGAAAAAAAACTGAGAAAGAAATTTATGTCTGTAAGATCAATCTATCATATTACTTCAGTTCCAATATTTCAAGTAATATTTTAAGTTCATTATTCCATATATTATAAGTTGCAATCAACTAAATTACTGAAACCTCAATGAATTTTAAATATTTATTCTATTTATCTCATTATTTAAATCAATATTTATATTAACTCAATAATGTAGATTTTATTATTACATGTATAATATAGAAATATTTTATTCTAAATCACAAATTATTTTATCACATATAGTCAGGTGTCAATCATACTGGCAGAAAAATATTAACAATAGTTCTTAAAGGTTAAATAATAACAATAATATTATTTTAAATATAATTAAGAGTAATTTAACAATTAACAAATTATTTTCCCATTTATAGTTACATATGCTATAGTAACAATTTCATATAAAGTATCTAAATTAGATTATGTATAGAAATATTATATACCTCCGCCACGTTCTCCATTATTTTCTATGATTAATATATAAAGTCTTAATTATCCATTTCATTTCATTTCATTTTGCTTATAAAGATTATGTAGATGTTATCAATTTTCCTGTAATTTCCACAATCCAGTTAACAAATTGTGCAACATCAGTGAAAACTCCTGGATAAGGACCAACTCCACAAGGTTTCACTGACCAGGATACAATTCCGACTTGGACGCCTTTGGATACTAAAGGACCCCCGGAATCACCCTTCGAAATATTTAAAAAAATAATTAAAAAAGTATGTCTATATATAAAATTCTGCTGTAATGGTGTACTCCTCCTGAACGGTTATTCGGATTTTAATAAATCTTTTTAGAGTTTGTCGAGGGAAATTTTCAAGATGTGGAGAATTATAAAACTATAGTAATATTGTAGAAATAAATGAAAAAAAAATGCAAAAACAACATATCATTGTTTGACTTTGAAATCATTTTGACACATAAGAACTGTCATCTGCCAAAATTGACGATTAAATTTGAATTTAGTTTAAGCGAGTCTAGACAATATTAATATATAATATCCATATTCATGATTATAAATAAGAAAAATGCCATATCTACAATATTATTGCTGAAAATCAGCTGAGATGTGCCAGAAACAATATAAGATACAATATATGTTTGGCAGTAGAAAATATATAAATTAGTTTAATAAATAACACAATACGTACAAAATTGTATATATTTTCTAAACTTGTGCATGTTGTATTTTGCTTTACTTTTTTAAATTATAAATAAAAAAATAAAACAAATAAAAAGTATATTTTCTACTTATTGAAAAAATGATTTAGAATTTTGTTTCATGTGTCAAAAATTCAGTTGTTTCATCATGATCTTAGATTGAACAGTGCCACCATATAAACTACATATTACAAATTAATTCACCTAAGATTTTAACTAAAGTAATAAAGCTTACGTTAAGACCATAAAAGGAAGGACATTAATTAGAATATTGAAAAGTATAAGATAGGATATTCAAATTTGAAACTTTTTAGACGTGGGTACAGGACAATATATATATATATATATATATATATATATATATAATTGATAGGTTTTCTCTCAATATTTAAACAAAAATAATTTTCCAAAATTACTCACAATACATTGTCCTTTTCCTCCATTTGGAAGTCCTGCACAAATTTGGTTGTCCTGCACAGGATGGCTATGTATTTCGACGCATTCTTGATGATCCACTATAAAATAGTCGACTTTTTGTAAATTTTCTTGGAGCATTCCATTTGAACTCTAGAAAAAAAAAGTTAAAAATATTTTATTTTATATTATCCATGGTATAAACAACAATGGTAAAATACAGTATATTTTTAAAAATACAGAAATGTGTTTGTGGATGCGTAATAAAAATATTACAAAAATCTATTTATTTCCTTAATCCAGTTATCAATATCATTTGACATGACAGTGATTTTAATATCTTACAATCTATATATGATAAGTTTAAGAAGGATTAGTACAAATCTTTGTACGTCGAATTTGATTTCAAGGATTATTTGTATTAAGATATATGTGACTAAGCAAAATGTTTCATATAATCTCGTAAATAAAGTTGAAAATCAGCATAGTACATAAAACATTTGTTCATGGGGTAATTTTTAATTGATTTGTATGGCAAAATAGAAAAGAATACAGTATATAAATATAATATATCAAGGTAATATTTATATTTCATATCTCAGTTAGGCAGTGGTGCCTGGTATAAGAGAATAAAAAACAATTTTTATATTTTTATATACATATAATTTCATTCTTCATTTATAAACCTTAAATTTAAATATCTCTTTAATCTCTCTTGTTTAACACTAAAAATTCACATACAAAATCTAAATTATCTAAGTGAGAATAATTTTAATAATTATTAAATGAGGCAATTGATTTCATCAGTCTGATGAATATTAATTCAAGGAAATAACTCTTAATAATAAAAAATTATTAAGAGCTATTATTTTATGTGTATTAAAAATTGTGTGGATAATTTATTATAATAATAATTAAAAAATATAATTTCAATATTTTTTACTTGAATGATGCCATAAAATAGGTTGTAGAATCAAAAAGTACAAGAACCAGAATGTTCTTTGCCAGAATGCAAAATGGCATCAGAAGTTTGAAACATGAGATGTGGCAAAATGATCTCTTAATAAGTAGATGATGAAAAATAACAATGTAATGCTCTCAATTTATGCACATAGCATCAATAATAATAAAAAATAAAATAATATTATAAATAAATACTTACTGCATTAAAACCCCAACCAAGAACAGTTGCAGGTGCACCTCCTGCAGTTAGTTCTCTTGTCGAAGGCAAAGGAACAGGTCTTACCATTCTGCTGAATGGTAATGGAATTTCCAACTAAAATTAAAAAAAATGATTTTATTCAAAAATTGTCTAGTTATTACTCCATGCATCAGAAACTAAAAATTAGGGATAATAGTTAATTTAAATTTTTCTTTGATAATTTATCATATTGTAAAATGTCTACTACGTATAGAATCTATACGTAGTAGACATTTTACTTGTTTTTTTTATATATTGCTCATATCTATAAATCTGATTTATGATCTGTACTATAGATCATAAATCGGATTTATAAATATGAGCAATATATATAAAAAAAAAACAAGTAAATCCGCCAAAACTTGAAATATATCACATCTGAATTTGATTTTTATTTTTTTTAAAGCAGATTAAAAATATACAGTTCTCTAAATTTGAAAGTAGAAGTACCTATTTCAAAAAATAAAGTAAAAATAAAAACAATGTAGGTATTGCTCATTAATATTGTACTTAAAGTCGTATATTGCAAAAAAGTTATCTGTTATCAAAAAGTGATATTAAAAAATGTGTACTATATGTATATACGGTTTATAAATATATTTAATTAAAGATTATCAATAAAGTTCAACAGTATTTTTATTCACTAGAACTTTATAATTAATATACTTAATGAAACTTTGTCCATACTTAACAAAAACTATGATCTCATAGTAAAGACCTACTCATTTTTATTATATTTATGGTATATAAAACCACACAATAATACCTTCAATAAAGCAATATCAGCAAAATATGTGTTTTCTTCGTCAAATTTTGGATGAATGAACATTTCACTAATTCTTGCAACATTTGGTCCATCTTTAGAAACATGGGTAACACCATATTGTATTGACATGTCTTGGGCTTTCATTCTAAAAAATAAATAATAAATATATAATTAATAATATAAATAAATATAATTTTGGTAATGTTGAACGATATTTTAAATGAACTTTCCAATGAGATAATAGCAAAAAAAAATTAAAAAGTTCAAAATATTTTTGATTTAAAATCATATTAAATTGAATTCATGACTTTAAAAATATATATCAATTATTTTTAAATACATTCTCCCATGAGATAAAATAATAACGATTAATGTCTTTGTCATAGGCTGTTAAGAGAAAAAAAAACGTATTAATAATTTAAATATATATATATATATATATATATATATATATATATATATGGTTTCATTGTGATAAATTCAAATTGCAAACAATTTACCCATTTAGACAATGTGCTGCAGTCAAAATCCAATGAAAATCTATTACTGATGCTCCACACATGTGGACTCCAGTTTTATCCCTCAGAGATACCTTTGAAAAAAAAATAATAATTAATAATTTTAGAGAATTTTATAAATAATCTTTCAAGATATGCAAAATATATTAGATATTGAATATTATTGACAATAATTGTACGACTATTGATAGAACACCATGAAGAATGATTTCATAGACCACATTATTATTATCTTCAAGACTTAAATAAATAAATGGAGAAACAAACAAAAGACATTTTATTTAATTAATAGGCAAAATAAATAAATAAATCATTAAGAAATAAATAGTATCCATACATAATACATCCAACATAAGTATTTAAATAAAGTTGGTCAAAATTATAAAAATTATTACCATAAATGGAAATTCTCCATCATAAACTGCTGTTCCATTGACAATTCTGGTGGTAGGTTGTGCTATATGAAATAAATAAAAAATTAAATAAATAAAATGCTTGCAATTAAAATTTCTTGTATTAACACTAACCTGAACAAACAGCAATTATCGCCAATATCACCACCAACTTAAACATGTTAACACTGTCAAAATTCACACAATTTCTTTCTTGAAAAATCACTTCCGAATATTTTAAGTGTAGCGTTTATAAAAAAAGTAATGGTCATAAAATTTAATATGCGATATATAAACGGTTTTAGCGATTTATTTTATCAACAACGTCATTTATAGATAAACACAAATCAAGTTGTGATTAATTATTTACCTAGATTTGATTCTTACAGATGTTTGAAACTTTTTAGGAAAACAAATTGTGAACAGATCTGGAGCAAGTATTTTATATATTATGAGAATTTTATTAAAATTAGATAATAAATGTTGAAAAAATCGCTAGCATGTTTTAATGCCATTATTGTATTAATATGGTCAAATATGTTCAATTTTTATTAATAATTAAAAAATGCAAGTACAAGGGTATGACTAGAGTATGGGTATACGTAATATTTGTCATTATTAGTCATTTAAAAAAAATCAATTATAAGTCAATTATCAATTTTATTACTTTAATAATAGAATACGTAATATTCTATTTTTTATTACTTCTGCTCCCCTGTATAAATCTTTTGCGTCCTCAGATAAACTTATTTTCCTCAACAACTTATCAATAAAATTTGCTCCAGAAAAAACAGATGCGGATTACTGAAATTAAAAAAGATTAAAGTTTAATCTTAGTGCTAACAAACAAAGCAAAATTCTTGATAAATGCTTTTTAAGATGTCTTTTAATCCATTTAAATCATTTTCCAGTTTAAACAAAGTCCAAAGGTTTAATGAATGGACTTCGTATCTGGCGCTTGAATTTATCATACAATTTGTAAAATCGTATTCAGTATGTTTAATTTCTTAGGAATTTGTTGAATACCAAACAAAATCTTACTAATAAATATTATTATAATCACTTTGCATATAATGAAATTTTTCTCCTTTTTTTACTAATTTCAATATCTACTAAATAACATCCAGGTACATGATAATATAAATGATAAATTTTAATATAATAATAATATAATAATAATATAATATAATAATAATAATAATAATAATAATAAAAGAATAAAGTTAAAGTAAAGTAATTGAAAATAATTTAGTAGTACTCAAATTATGTGATATATATGATGGATGGTGTAATTCGTACATATTTTAATTTGTTTTATTATATTTGTTACCACTTATCGTTAAATAATATAATTTAAAATTTTTATATCACAATGGGTGTATTTTTATTTTTGTTGATTGGCAATTCATTTTCTAAATTTATTTA